TTGCTATCTATGGAAATGGATTAGCATATCTTTCTATGCAATCCATTTCATTGAGTGACACTTGAATCCAGATTAATTAACAGAATTTCATTTATAACATATTTTGCCGCCACCTACACCCGATGCTGTAACCACGTTTTAGTGGTTCGGTCCTCAGGGACTTAGAACGACGTTTTAACCACAGGGCTAACTCGGCGCTTGGTCAATGCTGATACTGGTCCAAGCGGATTGTTGGTCTCTGGCCACTTCGATCCATACCAACTCTGCTTATGTTGTGTTATTGATCTCAGAGCAGTGGAAAATCGTAGATCGTAGTCTCGCAGCGCTGGTGGGTGCAATATTAAGGAAAAAAATATATTCCCGACGAAAAATAAAGTAAAACTTTGAGCAAAAATGAACTAAATGCTACTTTAAGCTATTTTAAATACCCCGAAACTTAAATGTAAATTAAATTATTTAAGTGGTTCTCAAAATTAAAGATGTCAAGCTGATATTTACTGGGCGCTTTTATTTACTTTGGGTTTATCTTTAGGTTTGTTTTTTTCTATTGTCCCAATTATTTCATTCAGGGAAAACAACAACTATTAAAAGCGATATATATATATATATATATATATATATATATATATATATATATATCATATGACAGCTGAAAAGTTGAATGTCACTGGTTTCTGGTCACAACTAACCCCACTTTTCGAAAATAAACTTTATGCCACGAAAGGTTTACATTACAACAGATTTACACTGGCTTCCGAAACGGTATAAATTAAATAAATAGTTACCATTAACTTATGTCAGTTGATCCCTATAAAACCTTTTTTCTTTGCCTGCTTCAATGTGTGCTTCGGCTTATGTGGAAGACTTGAAATAGGACAGTATGTTTAGGCACAAATATTTTTCTATCATATAATTATTCGTAGGAACTGAAAAAAAACATCGTGTGAACTTGTCCTAAACTTACACACTCATCCAAAATCATGCATTCCTACAATCGTTGTAATCCAGTCAGTCGTAGTGAAAATTCTAAGAGAGTGTGATTGAGGCGAAAGAAGTGAGGTGGATCAACAGAGAGAGAAGTTTGAGTGGCGGCGTAATGAATAGAATTCTGAGAGAGATAAAAGAAACTAATTCTCACACCTACACCAGTTTCAGTTAAACAATTTTAACTTTCACTGAGAAATATATTTTGGTAACATAATTATTCAATTTTTTGGATTAAAATATTGTCACAATATCCTGAGAATGTCATCAATTGCGTAAATCAATTGTGATCACAGCGACAAGTATTTTTATAGCTAAATCCATACAAAGGCCAACAATGAATAATGCAAAGCTGAGTTAGAGTCAGTATTTTTTTTTCTGTTTTCTTAAAGGTTTTTACTGCATTTGGTTAACTGAAGAGCTGTTGGCAAACTCTTTTTTGGTAATCATTCTAGAATTGATTCCGAAGACCAACTGTGATAATAAGAGATAACATGAAATAAATTTCTTTTTTTAAATTGATTTTCTCTTCCTGAATATAAAAGTCTATTGGTTGCATTCCATTCAGTGAAGTGCTTCATGTTGAAATTCTTGTAGTTTCTTGCCTGATTTATTTGTGAACTTTAAAATGTTTTAATCGATTATGTAAACTCAGTGCAGAATTGCGATTCCTGAAAGAATTATAATAACCGATTAGTATTTCGCGGTAAAATTTTTCATGAGATCCCATGTTGATCTTTTGTGTAAAACACAGTTTATCTATCGTGAAGGGAGTTTTAAAAATCTTTAATAAATTCAAAAAATGTTTTATTCTTCTGTTATCCGAGTTGGATGTAAATTTAAAAAAAAAAATTATAAACGCATTCCAGTGAAATTTAAAAGTTTTAAAATCAATACTGTAAATAAATCGATGACTTTTCATACATCCCTGACAAGTTTAACAATAAAGCAGTAGCTTCCCTTGGCGGACACCTGCGCAGATTAGATAATTATAGGGTGTGGTTTGTTTAAGTGCTCACTCAACTATTATATTCTCAGTCAACCCTGCTGAAATACCAGTGACGAGAACTATTTCCAAGATATCTAATAGAAAGGGATCACATAGGAAGAAGCGATTTCAAGCATTTGTACTAAGCAAAAGCCTTGTAAGAATGTTTCAATTATGTGTTCTCTTCCCCGTTCTCTTCTCTATAATTCACAACAATAAGAGAAGGCATTTTTTAAACGTTTCACCCCAAGCAAGGCGGGAAGCCACTAACACGCAAGGGTTACAGAGAGTTAGAGCGAGAGCAAAGAGGAGAGATAGAGGAGAGGATGAAGAGAAGGATAGAGGATAGATCAAGGCATTTGAAGACGTCGATTGGCATTACATTTGAATAGTTGGAGATTATAGCTATCAGGAAAACAAGAAATGGGAGGGGGATTCCACAGGTGATAAGTGCGAGACATGCAGGTATTGTAGTGGAAGAGACGGCTACATTTAACAGTTTCGACAGTGACAGCCTAGTTGAACGCTTAAATTCGAGAAGTCTAGGAACCAGCAAAAACATCTCATCGGAGTAGTTACTGTGAAATTATTATGTTGTGTCGTTTTGGTGTGCATTTCAACCGTGCTATATTCTTGCCTAGTTCTTGTATAAAAAGGATTGTTGGGGTTGAAATCGTATCTGATAGGTCACAGAAATATTATCCTGGTAAGGATAGGGGTACACCTAAATCTTCCTTAATCGTATTCCTGATAGAGAATAGAATCATTGGTAGGTCTTCAATCCAATTAGTCGTGTCAGATATGGTAGCCATGGAAGCATTTAGGAATCTGTGAAATCTTTCAACCAGAGCGTTTGCAAAGGGGTGACAAGTCGCTGTTTTGAAATGCTTAGAGCCAAGTAAATTGTTGAATTCCCGAAATAGGGATGATTAAAATTTTGCCACACAGTCGGTCGTAAATACTTGTGGTGTTCCAAAAATTGCAATCCAGTCTTTTAGAATTGCGTTGGAGACTGTGTTGGATGTAATGTCTTTGATTGGTAAGGCGATTGACCATCAGGAAAATCGATCAATGATGGTCAGCAGATACTGGTAACGATGCAAATTGGTAAAGCTCCAACAATATCGATGTATATGTTTATGAATCAGGCGTCGGTGTAGCTCTCAGGATATTGTCAATATACACATATGTGAAGAGAAAACCACGTAACACTTCGTCGATAAGGCGTTGAAATGTCTGAGCGCTGTTCCTCAGATGGAATGGCATTTTTACGAATTCGTATAGGTCAAATGTTGCGACAACCGCTTTTTGGGGAATGTCGTTCGTAGCCACGGGGGTTAGGTGGTATGCTTTGGTTAGGTGGATCTTAGAAAATATGCGTGTAACCTGTAGTCCTGGATATGAGGAACAGGGTACCAATCAGGAATGGTTGAAGAATTGATTTCTTTGTAATCGACGATAATCGGAAATCCGTGCTTTCGGATTTCGGGACCCGGTATAGTGGTGAGGCATAAGCGCTGTTTGATAGATGGATGCTGCCTTCGTTCAACATTTTCTGGAAAACTTGCTTCGCGGAGTCATATTTGTGAAGCGTGGATGTGAACTTCCGGGCTGTCCAGTGATGTGCTGTGTTTGATGCTTTTTTGAATCAGTATTCTTAAATGGCTGTGTGATTTCTGTCTACTGATCCAATATGTTCATGAACTCGCGATTGTGGCAAGTTGCGACACTGATTCCTGTAATGAGGTAACGTGTGCGGGTACAAACGATACAAATGCTTATTGTATTACCTGGGAGGATTCTCGTATTCATGTGCACCGACAGATTAAAAAGTGCTAAAAAATTTTCGCCGAGTATGGGTGTCGTGACATTGGCTTGAGTAAATGACTATTTAAAATCATGTCGCATGCCAATGTTTAAGGTGAGATTATTATGGTAATTTACCCACGCACGCATGGACTCTCCTAGCCATAAATAGGAGCAGGTACTGCTTTTGAAGAGGGATGTTTCCAGCAGTCAGCTCTGACAGTCTCACACTCTCTTTTGTATATGTTTGTATTACTGTTTCTGTTAATATATATGTTTAACTCAATTCCTCTCTTTGTGTCTTTATTTCTGGCCCTAACAAAGCCACAACACATATGTCACTATGTGGGAGCCGTTAGATGATTGGAGCTTAAAAAGGGCGGGTTTGAGGGTGTGACGGTCTCTAGTGGGTATTACGCTGATCGATGCTCCTGTGTCTACAAGGAACTTTAATCTGTTGATTTGTCCCATACAAAGCAGCATTGTATTTTTCCACTGGCTGGGTCCACCGCTACTACGCTTGGGTCTTTCAGTTTCCCTGGGCCGTCTGATACTTGCACGGCTTTTTGGAGTTCCTTCGCTAGTCTCAGAAGGTTCTGTGGCTGCGTCTGCGTAACCTTCTGTATTGAAATGGTGATGTGATTTTTGATCTCTACAGGATGTCTACTACCTCGTCGATTATGATTTATGGCAGTTGGCGAACCTGGATTTCTCGGAGGTGATTTTCTGGGCGGTGAATATTGCTTTAATCTAGAGAAATGAATTTCTCAGGTTGATATCGGTGTATAGGGATAGGTGGAGAAGGGTGGGGCAAGGGTGGGGTAAGGTATTAACTGGCATCTCGATTGTATCTTCATTTGAAGCTATAGTGGATATAGTAATTTTTGCGTCATTCGCGTCGTAGATCACCATTTTGTTGTGGGTGGTATATTGGCCAGCAAACAGATATCGAAAAGACAACAACAAAAAAACAAAGACTTGAGTAAAAAGAAAATATATTACCAAGTTTATTTTTGTTAAAGAAAATACATGAACAAAAATAATGTTAGTGTGAACTAGGCAAAAAATAATTCTGCAACCTCATTTAGATAGTGAGATATGGCGTTATCCTGAGAAATACAGTTTTGGTACTTGCTAAAGAAAGTATGCCCAGAAAAGGACAGTTTCGTGGTTACTTGAGAGCATTGTAATGAAAAGAAAAGTTTCTTTGTCGCTTGAGAACGGATGTTCTGAGAAAGGGAGATTCGTGGTCGGTAGAGAGCGTTGCCCTGAAGAAGACCGTATCTTGGTCGCTTGAGAACGGATGTTCTGAGAAAGGGAGTTTCCTGGTCGGTAGAGAGCGTTGCCCTGAAGAGGACCGTATCTTGGTCGCTTGAGAACGGATGTTCTGAGAAAGGGAGTTTCGTGGTCGGTAGAGAGTGTTGCCCTGAAAAGGCCAGTTTCGTGGTCGCTTGAGAACGGATGTTCCGAGAAAGGGAGTTTCCTGGTCGGTAGACAGCGTTGCCCTGAAGAGGACCCTATCTTAGTCGCTTGAGAACGGATGTTCTGAAAAAGGGACTTCCGTGGTCGGTAGAGCGCGTTGCCCTGAAGAGGACCGTATCTTGGTCGCTTGAGAAAGGGTGTTCTGAGAAAGGGAGTTTCGTGGTCGGTAGAGAGCGTTGCCCTGAAAAGGACAGTTTCGTGGTCGCTTGAGAACGGATGTTCCGAAAAAGGGAGTTTCTTGGACGGTAGAGAGCGTTGCCCTGAAGAGGACCCTATCTTGGTCGCTTGAGAACGGGTGTTCTGAGAAAGGGCGTTTCGTGGTCGGTAGAGAGCGTTGCCGTGAAGAGGACCGTATCTTGGTCGCTTGAGAACGGATGTTCTGAGAAAGGGAGTTTCGTGGTCGGTAGAGAGCGTTGCCCTGAAAGGCCAGTTTCGTGGTCGCTTGAGAACGGATGTTCTTAGAAAGGGAGTTTCCTGGTCGGTAGAGAGTGTTGCCCTGAAGAGGACCGTATCTTGGTCGCTTGAGAACGGATGTTCTGAGAAAATGACTTTCGTGGTCGGTATAGAGTGTTGCCCTGAAGAGGACCGTATCTTGTTCGCTTGAGAACGGGTGTTCTGGGAAAGGGAGTTTCCTGGTCGGTAGAGAGTGTTGCCCTGTAGAGGACCGTATCTTGGTCGCTTGAGAACGGGTGTTCTGAGAAAGGGAGTTTCGTGGTGGGTATCGAGCGTTGCCCTGAAAAGGACGGTTTCGTGGTTGCTTGAGAACGGATGTTCTGAGAAAGGGAGTTTCGTGGTCGGTAGAGAGCGTTGTCCTGAAGAGGACCGTATCTTGGTCGCTTGAGAACGCATGTTCTGAGAAAGGGACTTTCGTGGTCGGTAGAGAACGTTGCCCTGAAGAGGACCCTATCTTGGTCGCTTGAGAACGGATGTTCTGAGAAAGGATGTTTCGTGGTCGGTAGAGAGCGTTGTCCTGAAAAGGACAGTTTCGTGGTCGCTTGAGAACGGATGTTCTGAGAAAGGCAGATTTTTGGTGGCGGATGTTCAGAGAAGGACAAAAGGCTGGCTGAGATCTTGGCTAAAATCTTCAACTTTGTTTTAAACATAGTTAAAGGCTGAAAGTTAACTATTCCATCCACACCGTTTTTTTCCATGCGTAGCAACTTGATCATACCCAAGTGTTGAGGTATAGATTCCTGCTTCATCCATTTGTTTTAAATCGGTCACACCAAAATAACAACAACGGGTGTCTGCCTCAAGTGCAGTTCGTAAGGAAGGCCAACGAATCCCGGAGTTTTGTCCGGGCCAACTAGCTTCAGCGCTTCCCAGCTTGCCGATTCTGTAATGGAATCCTCGCACCCAGCCACTTCAGTCACCATGAGACGAGAAAAGTCGGCCAAATAGGCATTGAAATAAGCAGGCGTCAGGCCGAGATCCCTGGTGAACAGATCCTGAAAGTAGTAAAAAAAAAAAGCTTTACATATGCCCACGTTTGTAGTCACGGCCTGCGTATCCGGCAACGTGACACATGTAAATTGCCGATTGGCCGCATTTCTAACTTCCTCTGTACGCAATTCAGCCGCCATATTCGTCGCCTCAGAAGAAATTCTTTTTAACTTATCTCTAACTACCAGAGCTTCATCCTTCTTGATAAGCAAGGAACACAACTGTGCCATAGCTAAGTCTATCACGGGATTTATTTGCCCGATTAACCTTTTTCTCAGAGGCCGTTTGCGCAGCGAATCTAACTCGATTGAGACGATAACTACAATCAGCAGCAAACGACTTAACTATGGATTTCAAATGATCCCCCACTTATTCCCAACAACAGCCCCTGTCAATTTCTGCTGTAGCATTAATATCGCTCACCTTTGTTGCTATTTTTCTGGTTTTCTTTATTTTGGGTTTGGGGTGTTGACTCCTCCCGTGAGCCTAATTCTTTTATCCTTTTCAAAGACTTTCCTCACCAACCGCCTTTTGTCGATCATATTGCCCTCAGTATAAGCGGGAAAATGTTTTCTCTTGCGATAAAACTATATATTAAGCGGAGTGGGAGTGCTCGAGAAAAACAAAAAATAAAAGTCAAATTCCAAAAGTAATTTCTTCTACAAATTTAAGGTGAAAATCATATCAACAATATAAAAATAAAAGTGTGAAAGAAGACTAACAATACAAAATAAAAGTATATAATACAATAAACAAAAACTCTTTTTAAATGGAAAAGCAAACAAGTTCGACTTAATTTGAAAGACAAAGATAAACAAATTAAGCTCTCTAATTTACAATAAAGATTTTGTAAAACTTACTAATTACACCAAAATTAATCGGAAAGAAATAAAACAAAGAAAAAGAAATAAAACGATGTAAAATAAAACTTCGCTTAAAGACGAAAATGTAAATAAAGTTCAGCGAAAAAACCAAAAAAACTAAAGTTCGCCGAAAGACGAAAGCAAAAAAATCAAGTTAGCCCAAAATACAAAAAAAAAAAAAAAAAAAAAATTGAAAAATAAAAGCAATAAACTTTAATAAATAAAAACAAACAATTCAATAGTTTGGGGAAACTTGGTATTAACCCAGAAAAAATAAATATCGGCCAAAAAACTAATAAGATTAAACGACTAACGAGAAAAAATTTAATTGTTCAAATGTCAAAACAAACTAGCAAAAAAGTTTTTCGAGTTCATTCAAATAAAGGAAATAATAAATAGACAAGTAAACTTTAAATTAAACACAAACGAAATAAAACAACAAAAAAAAACCGTAGTCTGGTAAGACTTTACGTCAGACCAGAAAAATAAAAATGACGGCCAAAGCCGACAAGAAAAACTGAAATAAAAAGACTGGAAAGAAAAATTAAAAAATTCAAACCAAATAAAAAGGAATAAAGGAAAGAATAAGTCAAATCACTTGAACAAAATGTTTATCAGGCGAAAATAAAGTTCTTCGTATGAATAGTCAGAAGTTTGAACACGCTCTTGGTGTAAATCCTCCGGTCTGTAAGAAAATGTCTGAGCACGTCAAGAACGTTAAATCTGATCGACATCGGAAAGGCTGGACCTCACTAGTCCTAGCCAGTCTCGCTCATTGGCTCCTTCGTATATATAATATGCCTTTTACCAAAAGATCACATTTACTTTTACTATCCACACCAGTCACCAAAAGCCTTCTTTGTACAAAGAAGTTTCCATCTTGCTTTCAAAATGAACAAATACAAATGAGATTCTTGATATCTGCTGTATAAGTTCTTGTTGGAGATATTATAAGGTTACTTTTACCTATCAGAATTCGCAGTTGGCATCTGTGGAAATTGTCTAACTCCTGATTTTCTTTCTTTGTAAGGCCCCAAGTTCCACAGTTATAGGTTAAAACTGTTTTCACCAAGGTGTTATCCAGCTTTAATCTTAGATAATCTCCTCTTATCCATAGTTAATCAAGCTTTTCAATACTGACGATTGCTGTTTCCTTCTCATGATTTCTTCAGGATCTCCAATCAGTGAAACAACTTTCTTTATTTGTTTCCATTGCTCTGTATTTCTGTCTCCTCTTTCAATGATGTGTGTCCTGTTTTATCTTCATTTATCTTCTAATTCGGTGTTGGAAAGATACTTTCAGCATCTGTAAGCATTTTCTATTTTTTATCATTTTTGTATCAACTAGATATATTTCTTCATCTGAAATCTTTTCGTATTTCCTTTTAACAGAATACGAGTGCTCTACTAGAGATCTGTCAACACGTGCTTCAAATCTGGTTCGTCTCAGACTGTCTTCAAGCTACATGTTGAAAAACATGCCAATTATTCCGTCACCGTAAGGTGAGCCAATGTTGCTTTCAAACTTCTGCTTGCACACCCAATGATGTAAACAAATTTAAATAAAAACAAAAATGTTCGAAAATTAGAAATCTAACGTTATATATAAAAACTCGAACTTTATCGAAAGGAAATTAAAAAAAAGAAACTAGAGCTAGGTTTTAAGTCGAAAGAAGGAAAGTTTTAGTAAAAACAAAAGACGAAAACAAGTTTAAATAAAACGAGTACGTCTAAGAAAGGGTTAAAAAATAAAAATATAACGCTGAATTAAAAAAAGAAACAGTGAACGGAATAAAGGGTTCGATTTGAAATTCCAATCACCTGAAGAAGGCTGGAGCGCTTAACGGTCGAAACTTATGGCAATGAAGATTAGGATAACAGTATAAATAATGTAAATAATGTAAGTAAATAGAAAACGGTATAAAAAAGTTCGCAGAAATAAACAATAAGGTCTGGCCCTAATTCGAAATGAAGAAGTGCAAAACCTTAAAACTAAAACAAAACGAAAGCAGTAATTTAATGAAATAAGAAGATTAAACAGACAGCAAAAAGGAACAATGAAATAAAACGTAAAATAGTTTTGTGTAACTGAAGAACTAGAAGAAAAAAAGAACTTCGCTTAAAAAGTCAAGTAGGAGGGGGAGAAAATAAAATTAGTAGAAAAGAAAACTATAAATAATAGAAATAAATTAATAAATTCAGGACAGTTCAGTTATGGAAATCTTGCAAATGTAAACTTGAGAGGAGCGGATGAAAAAACACTTATGAAGTTGCTGGTCAAAAATTTAAGAACAATTTAAAATCTAAACCCCAATGTGTATTTAGAATATGAAATAATTCTACTTACTAGAAAATAAATAAAATAGTGTTCCCCCCCCCACCTCCGCAATCCTTAATTGTAGGAGAAACCTCAGTTACCTGGACGAAATCAATGCAGGATTAATATAAAACACTTATTCGTCTAAACATTTATTTTCACACACACACACACACACACACACACACACACACACACACACACACACACACACACACACACACACACACTCATTCACACACACGCACTCAAACACGCACTCATTCACACACACACACACACACACTCAAAAACACACTCATTCACACAGACACACTCAAACACATACTCATTCAAATTTGGAGGCAGAAATAAAAGAAGCCAATTAGTATACATACCCGAGCTAAGTTAACACGACGGAAGAAACTGAGAACAAAAACCAACCCCTAACCTTAACCTAGTTTCTGGCGGGGTTGTCAGTGTTCAATCCAGTTAGCGCAATATCCTCTAAGTCGGCTCCTCTTACTTGACACAAATGCGCAAGACTAACTCACCTTTTTTCAAACTCTGATGGAGGGAGCCGCCTTTCCGTCTTAATCTTGACTGATGCTTAAAATACAAGATGAGTTAGAAAGAGGAGAACTTCTCGCTCCTCATACGATTGCTGACACATTCTATCCAGGAACGCGTTTCAAAACGCATGTAGACGGTTCTCAACATTAGGCATACTCAGACCGCCTTTAGAAGGGAGGAGGTAATAGATCTCATGTGGTAACTTGGGGACTTTGCCTCCTCACAAGAAGGAGAACAAGAGCCTTAATGGTAAAATTAGTGTGATAGTCGGAAGTGGAAGCACGAAGAGTCGTTAAAGAAAAATCAGGTAGATGTGCGGGGCACATACTTCCGCCCTCCCCTTTAAGGAAATATTCCCCTGGCACTATTACAAACTACGACCTTGGCGTTTTCGCACACTTCCTACTAATTTATTTCCAGAAAGAGATCAGGACCGAACCAGACGCCGAGTAACCAGCCCGTCCTTCCAGAGGAAAGGTCCAGGAAGACCAACGACACGCCATTCTCATTCTTCCTTTTCCTTTTCCACACTTGCGGAAGGCATCGGTTTTTGGGGGG